TCCCAATGGGACGTATAAAAGAGACGGATGGGTGCCCAGATGCAACTTCGGGGGCACGGATTAGGGCAGGATAAAGGAGAGGAACAAGGGTGCTAGTGAGGACTCCTGTTGGATACAATTAATGATGACAGTGGTTGGGAGTGGTGGATGATGAAGAAGGCATAAAAATTAAAGTAACCCGTTACACCATCACCAAATGTTATCACCTCTAGCCAGTGAAGCACTTTTGTAAATACGCATAAATCGGTAGAGATCGAATCACTGTTTTCAAACCCTGGCACAAATCTGAAGGTCGTAAGTTCAAAATTTGCCTCGGGCAGCACCTTTTTACAAATTCGTGAAAAATATGCTAAACAATCCGCCGCTGGTTCGCAAACGTCTTTAGTTTTACGTATTGACAGAGAAAACAAAAAGAATTTTGTAGTTTTTTTTGTCTGATGCCTTTCTTGTCACCAAGAATACCAAGACCGCTCGGATAATCAATGTGGGCAAATGCAATATTTTCTGTTACTCATACTTCTTTAATTTTTATCCTTCCCCTCCCCCATCTCGCGCGGTCAGGACCTCATATATTTACTGGAGCGCCTATATTCTGTATGTATGTCATTCGCTTGCATAATATTTTGCAGTGTTTAACCCTGCTTTTAAAACAGCGTACAATTCCCAGCTTTTTGTTGGACTTTCCGCTTTTTTCTTCGTTGATTTTAGCTATATCAATAAAGCTATCAACTACAGAGATCGCTTTCATTAGCTGTTTACTTAAATAAAATTATTTTTAATGAAAAAAAAAGCAAAAAAACCTTTGTCCATAAGCCAAAAAGCGAGAGTTTTATCACCAACCAGTGCCTGATCGTGCGATTCTGCATACGCTACATTCTTTTCACCATATCTACAAAAAATTACGTGACATCTTCGATCACACATAATCTTACAAGCACTGCCGTTCAAAAAAACGGTTCAAAATGTTTCAAAATCGAAAATTGGCAGAACTAAAAAAAATGATTATTCATTCAGTAGCTACCCAGAAAAGGATAAACGGGGAATATACCCCACCAAACATGCTCTAACCAAAAATAAGATTCGTTATGAATGTATTGCTTTCTTTAAGAAAATGGCATTTTCCGAGAATATGTTACCAGAAGCGGATCCAGAGCGGTCTCCTGGAGGAAGTAGGACAGCAGTAGATTTGGCGGGAAGGCGATAATCATGTGGGGAGGGGGAGAGGGCTGAGGGTTCTAGGGACCGAGGCAATCGGCGATGCGGAAGAGGATTTTCTACAGTTTTAGCACTGCTACCTGTGCCGTTGGAGGGAGGCGAAAGACTCA